CCACTGCAATTCCCTCGTTCCTGTTTGCAGCAACTGCTATAGGGGTTTGACTAACATACTGTAATTGTAGATCCAGAGTCGACACCAACATGTCATCCCAAGAAATGTCCCAAGTTCCTTGGGTGTCCTGGGGTTGAGGGGTTTGGCAGATTGTTTCTTTGCATTCTTGTCCGAATTTCCACTGCTCCCCTGAGACCTCATATCCCAGGTAGGTGACTTCTTGCTTCACTGTTTGTGCCTTTTGCTGAGATACCTTATATCCTTCAAGTCCATGAAAATTTAACAGGCTTACCGTGCATTCCCCACAGTTGTTCAAGGTTTCGGTGGCTATCAACAGGTCATCCACGTACTGCTGCAAAACTCCTTCCCCAGGGAGTGCCGCCCAGTCTTCAAGGTCTTTTGCCAGTTGGTTTCCAAATAATGCTGGGCTATTTTATGAAGCCTTGGGGTAACGTGGTCATTTTTCCATTCAAAAGCAAACAATTTTTGGGTCTCTGGCTCCAAGGGCCCGCAGAAGAAGGCATCTTATAAGTCTAAAACAGTAAACCACACAAGATTCCCTCTTAGTTTTGTTAACCAGGTATAAGGGTTGGCTGCTACAGGATAAAGTTCTACATTTATAAAGCGCTATTTTATTGATAGCTCTTACATCTTGTATTAATCGATAACTTTTCTCATCCTCCTTCCAGACTGGCAAAATGGGGGTGTTATATTTCCTTACCGGTTGTGCCCTGGGCTTCAGTCTTCCTTGGAGTGGTTTGGCATGCTTTGCCTTACCCGGTATTCTGCTGGCCCATACTCCTGAATAGACTTGATCTGAGCTGTCCAAGGGGACCTGCTTTGTTACGTGTGGCTGGATGAGAGCTAAACTTAGTATTTTGATTAATTTGTTGTCTCTAATTTGTATTTCACCATTTTTAAACTTGATCTCTGCTTCCAATTTTTCTAATAGATCCCTTCCTAATAATGATTTTGGGGTATTTGGCACATATAAAAAATTATGCATTCCTATCATTTTACCCATTTTGTATTGGAGAGGTTGCATGTATGGTACCTTCTGTTGCTGGCCTGTCGCCCCAATCACATTTAAAGATTCATTATCAATCAAAGCTAATTGTTGATTTAACACAGCAAACAGCCCCGGTGTCTACTGGAAATTCTCCCTTTGTGTCTTCTTTCCCCAGCTTCATTATAAGGGGGGATTGGCCGGGGTTCAACCCTCTGTTCCCCCCTGTTCTATTTCCCATTCAGCAAGGCATGGGAGGTGTGTCCCCCTCCCTTTTCAGTCTGAGACACTGCCTTTTTCAGTGCTCTGTCTGTTTACAAAAAAGCATAATGATCAGCCCCTACTGTATTATCAGGGGCCCTCAATTTACAACCCCCAAAGCAATCTTTTCACGTACCTTGAGTTTTTTCATTGCCCTGAAAGTTTCCTTTCCCTAAGGCTGCAATGGTTGCATGAGTAATTGTTTGACTTATTTTTTCCTTTCATTACTGTCTCGGTTTTGGTACACCCTCTATGTTTCCTCTAAAAGCTTTTCAATATCTCTCCGCCAGTGGCTTGAATACCAAAGGGGTCTTGGGGGGAAAAAAAGAAACATCATGCTCAGATCCCATATTTTAAAACATAGCATACCTTTTGTCTCATATATATAGAGAGATATATACACATATATTGATGGCTTGGCTTCGCGAGCGAAGATTTGGGAAGGGCTTGAACCACGCTCACTACAAGCACGATGACCAAGGGCATGTGGGAAATGCAAATCTGGTTGGAAAAAAGGGTCCTTAGGCAATGAGGAAGTGTCCGACCAGGACTGTCATCTCCTGAGCAATCTCGAGTGACCCATGCGCTGCTCTGTCCGCATGCAAGGTTGGATCTGCAGCTTCCCATGCACCTTGTCACCTGCCGTTTCGACCCTCGCCTGTCCATACAGACAAGTGAGAGTGAGCCCTTCCAGCCTGCACAGCGGATTTTTTAGGTGAAGCACAGCTGGCGCAGAACTGGCCGCACCCTTTACAACTGAGGTTTAACTGCCACAGCCTAGCGAGCTAGGACGGTGACAGCAAAGTCCTCAGGTCTTAGGTTTTGTAAGAGTGTCCTTCTCTTTGATGGAAGACCTGACAAGGCCAGACGAGCTCCATCAGCCTGGGTTTGAAGATAGGAGTTTTCCTTCTCCTGTGAGGAAGGCCCGTGTTCACTAACAAAGATTCAGGAAAGGCTTTAACCCACACATTCTGAACAGCACTGTCATCTCCTGGGTCAATCACAAGCGACCAATGACGCAACAGCACAACATCAAGCGTCTAGGTGGGATTCTGACTTAGAGGCACTCAGTCATAGGCCCTCAGGTAGTAGCCTCACACCAGTGGCTCCTCAGCCAAGCGCATGCACCAGGGGTCTGAACCTGCAGTTCCTCTCGTACTGAGCAGGATTACTATTGCAACAACACATCATCAGTAGGGTAAAACTAACCCGTCTCATGATGGCCTAACCCAGCTCACGTTCCCTATAAGTGGGTGAACAATCCAACGCTCGGTGAATTCTGCTTCACAATGATAGGAAGAGCCGACGTCGAAGGATCAAAAACCCAAAAAGCCAGGAGGATCATGAGGCCCCGCTTTCATGGTCTGTATTCGTACTGGAAATCAAGATCAAGTGAGCGTTTGCCCTTCTGCTCCGCGGGAGGTTTCTGTCCTCCCTGACCTCGCCTTAGGACACCTGTGTGTATATATACACACACACACACAGAGATATATCATTCCTTAGTGCATGGACCATTCCCTATAAAGCTGATGAGTTCATCTGGTCCATGATGTTGGGCTCTATCTCTTGTAACAGTCTTTCAGAGCAGGAGAGACAGTGTGCAGTGTTGGACTGTTGCCTGCTGAAGACACCACAGAACTCGTCCGGTCACTGGTGGGCTGGTCTGGTTTTGTCAAAGTTCATTCTTTGTTGGGATGATGGTCGGAGGGAAGTCAGGGCCTGTTGCTGGTGACCTGAAGACATCTAGTTGGTGAGCTATAGAAGTGCTACATAGCAGGCAACAGCATACAGTTGAGCTCATTGGTTGTTTTCCCCCACAATCAAATCCCCTTGAGGTACACATCGGACTTCCCCATCTTCCCACATTACCCACCAAGTATATCCACGTCCCTGAGCAAAAGCAATCCCACAAATGGGTTTGCCTTTACCTGAAGCAGGAATAACCCAGACTGTCTTCCCCAGCAAATGCTTTATGTGCACCACAGGAACTTTATCCCCTTCGACAGTATGTAACAGTTCTGACTGGGCTGGGCCAGCCCTGTTGGCAGATCCTCTGGTGTTGACCAGCCAGGTGGCCTTTGGTAAATGTTTATCCCAGTGTTTGAAAGTCCCACCACCCATTGCTCTCAGTGTAGTTTTTAACAGCCCATTGTACCGTTCCATTTTCCCAGAGGCTGGTGCATGGTAGGGGATGTGATATACCCACTCAATGCCATGCTCTTTGGCCCAAATATCTATAAGGTTATTCCGGAAATGAGTCCCATTGTCTGACTCAATTCTCTCTGGGGTGCTGTGTTGCCACAAAATCTGTTTCTCAAGGCCCAGGATAGTGTTCCGGGCAGTGGCATGGGGCACAGCGTATGTTTCCAGCCACCCGGTGGTTGCTTCCACCATGGTAAGCACATGGCGCTTGCCTTGGCGGGTTGGTGGCAGTGTGATATAGTCAATCTGCCAGGCCTCCCCATATTTATACTTCAACCATCGTCCTCCATACCAAAGAGGCTTTAACCGCTTGGCTTGTTTAATTGCAGCACATGTTTCACACTCATGAATAACCTGGGCAATAGTGTCCATTATTAAGTCCACCCCTCGATCACGGGCCCATCTGTATGTTGCATCTCTGCCCTGATGGCCTGAAGTGTCACGGGCCCACCGGGCCAAAAATAATTCACCTTTATGCTGCCAATCTAAGTCCATCTGAGCCACTTCAATCTTAGCCGCTTTATCCACTTGTTGGTTGTTCTGGTGTCCCTCGGTGGCCAGACTCTTAGGTACATGAGCATCTACATGACGTACCTTCACCACCAGGTTCTGCACCCGGGCAGCAGTATCTTGCCACAGTGCAGCAGCCCAGATGGGTTTACCTCTGCGCTGCCAGTTGCTCTGCTTCCATTGCTGCAAGTACCCCCACGGGGAAATTGCTACCATCCATGAATCAGTACAGAGACAGTAATGGCAGGAAGATGCAGAAATGAGGCCTACAGTACTCTTACCAGTTTTCCATCTGTTACAGATTCTCCTCCAGTGAGAAAATCTCAAAGATTGCTACACTTGTTCCCCCCAACACACACACACACACATGCACACACACACACACACACACACGCACATACACCTGTTTTTTTCCACACTAGGGACACCACAGCTAGCCCAACAGGACTAGAAACCCTCCGCAGGCAGGGTTTTACACCTTGTCCCAGGCAATGACTCATTCAGACTGGTGCTGCAGCAGGTGCAAAGCATTCATGGTGGGAAGGGACAGGTGAGAAGAGACTAAAAATCAGGAAATAGTTGGGGTGGAGAGATTTGGGGAGGGGGTTGCTAGGGGGGATAGAGGAATGGGAGAGGAAAATCAAGATCTTGATTTTGCTAGGAGCGCTCTTTGCTACATGAAGCACATCAGTGAATCCTTCTGTGCTTCCAGTTATAACAGCAATCTATAAAATGAAACTCTTTTTTTTCTCCCCAAAGTGAGGTTTAACCTGTAGGTAGATGTCAAACACCCTGTTCTACTCTGCATAACCTGCCCAAATCAAGGGCTTCTACATTATCAACACAAAGACATCTGCAGACTGAAAGAAGGAGGCATCGGAGACTGATGAGACAGGCAGAAATCAAAAATCAACAGAGAGCACTGTTCTGTTATTAATTTCTGTGATTTATTATTTTGAAGCACTGTTTTTTAACTCAGTTCAGTATGCCATAGAGCATCCCAGCCCCACTGAACTCCCTCTTTCTCCTGCAGGCCATGGCTCTCACAAAGCTCTTACTCTGGGTTATGCTTAGCATATTCTCGAATGTGCTCATGGTCAGTGATGAGCTGGATGAAGCCACACATGACTGCATGCAGCTGCATTTGGAGATGCGTAACGAGGAGATGGCTCGGATGGTGCAGCAGCTGCAGCAGCAGGTTGAGGAGATGAAGGGAATACAGCAAACTTGTGTGACCTGGAGTGGCCTGCTCTCTGCTGCCTTGTGGAACTGGAAATTCTGGGTGACTGCTGGCTTCCTGCTCCTCCTGACTGTGGGGCTCTGCTGCTGCTCTAGCAAAAGAAGCCCTGAGGTGGGCAGCAGTGTCAGCAGTGAAGAGGAGGAAAACAGTGAAGAAGAAGACAGTGAAGAAGATGCTGTTGGTGTGGCAGATTTGGACACATACACTGCAATGCGCAATGAGTGGTCAGCGGACGAACTGTGGAACCAGAGCGAGGGGGTGGATGCAGTGGTTGAAAGCCTCTTCATTGGTTGCCAATGGTCCAGTTTCTTGTCAAAGGGTTTCTTCCTGGAGCTGGGACCAGCCATAGGGGTGGGCAACACCTTTGATTGCTGGTGTCCCCAGGAAGACGAGCCTGTCTACTGTATGCTCGTGCAATGAATGCTGCTTGCAGGATGAGAAATACAGATGTTACAGTAGTCTCAGAAGTTCCTTACCATGAATTTTCCCCCTCCCCAGTAACTTCAGAACCAGAAGAAGGAGAAGGAGTATCGGACCCTCCTGGCACATCTCAGTAGTGCTGTGGAAGGGAGCCGATGTTTATTGAAGGGGGTGGGAAGATTGTCATGCCATGGGTGGGATCAGACAAAGCTTCCCCCAAAACATGTCTCCCCAGCCCACTTCCCATGCTGGCCTGCATGCTCAGGTACTCCAGCAAGGAATGACAGAACTTTTGCTGTCCCCAGGAGATGGGCAGAGTCTGGAAAGCCACTCTGTACCTAGATATGGACATGAAGCAGCTCCATCCCACCTCGGAAGGGTCTGCCCCCAGCACTGCCAGCCCGGCCCTTCATCTCCCTCCTTGTTTCCAAAGTGTTGGGGTTTCTGCAGACCTCTCTCCCTGCATGTAGCTCAATAGGCACCAACCTCGCTGCTGTTACCAGGAGCAAAATAAAATCAAGGCTGCAAATAATCCCTGGGCTTGCAACCAAGAAAATGCCAGCATTGAGCAAAGCCATCTTCCAACCTTCCTGCCCTTGGGATTTGCTAGCGGATTTTTGTCCCAGCTATTCATGGCTGTTGTGACGATCTGAGCCCCGGCCTTCGTAATAACACTCCTTTAACCAGGTACTTCTCTAGCCCCTGAGGATGAACATGCTCACAAATGCAGCTCACAAGTCAGGTGTAAACACAAGTGGGTGCCAGTTTAAGCAGCCCTGGAGAGTGGTGGGCATGCTTTCCCTCCCAGCTCCACATTGCTATTTGAGAGCAGGACTTGCCAACACAGGAGTAGAGCTGCTGCTGCAACTGGAAGGACAGAAATGTATTTTTTATCCTGGAATCACTCACCCTTCCTGTGTGGGGGCAACCAAAGCACCTATGTGTGAGACAGAAACTGCAGAGCAGTACCCCGCTGAGTCGACTTTTCCAGCTATGCAGAAGAGCCTCTAGCATGTGGTTAGCTCACCCCATCTCTCCCACAGCTATGGGGATGGCCAAGCTTCCTCACAGCAACCTTCCTTGCAGATCTGCTCTCACTGCTTGCTGTGAAATGCAATCCCAACAGCAGGCTGAGCAGGGCCAGCGCATGGGGTGTATGGTCACATTCCTGACATCAGAAATCACAGCCACTGCACAGTGACCAGCACACACTGCAGCTGGGAGCTCACACTGAGACTTAGGGGCTGTTTTATCCCTTCACCATTAATTTTCGGCTAAAAGCACTTCTCTCCTTGATGTAAAGGCTCATACAGGGCTGGGAAAGTGAGAGGGTTTTCTAGGCACCATCCCACATCTTTCACTGCCCTGGGGACGGTTATGCCCAGCTCTCAGAGCTCGCTGTGTCTCTTGGCCTGCTTCTCCCTTGCTGCCAGCCTCGGGGCTGTCCCACGCAGGTCCCTCCCAGGGGACCCCACTTTCTCTGCCTTGGTTTCCTGGGATGGCTCATCCTGCATGACTGTGTCCCCTCCTGGGCTTTCAGACGGGTGCTGTTTCAGTGTGTCCTTGTGGTGGTGGGACGTGTGGAGTGGGAGCTCAGGCATGGCAGTCTCCATCATCTGAAGGAAGTCGTAAGCAGGAAGAGGTGGTTTCCAGTCTTCCTCAGACAAGGTACCTGAAAGCAAATACAGTCCCATGTTAGTAAGTTAAGAGCTAAGCAGCTCCACTTCACAGACACTTCCCTTTCAAAGGAATTACAGCTTTTTTTTTGCCCTTCAAATGAATGCAAAATTAAAGACTGTTTCTTAAAGATCACCCTCTTTCCTCCAAAACTCATACCACTACCCAAATTAAGCCAGCCTGAGGTGCATTAATATTTACTGGAGCTGGTCAAGGCTCTGTTCCCGAAGGCTGTGGTGGTCCTCAGACACCCCCACTGCAAAGGTCACACTGGGTGTCTGTCCACCAGTGGTGGATGTTTCATTCAGGCCCCAGATAGACTGTTTCAGTGACTGCGCACTACTGGGACATCATCAGGAGTGAGGGGACTGCTGTCTACACAAGGAGGAAGTGGTCCCATTATGTGAGGATACTCTTTAATTTGTGCTTTTAAGATTGATCACACAGTTCATAGCACTTAAAAGCCTGATGAAGGAGGCTGTGATGGCTGGAAGTGCCTTTGGCCATGCAGTAAGCTGCTCAGCCATTAGCTCACCCCACTGACACCTGCAAAAATTAAGGTCCCTACCTAGAGACCTACGTGACAGTCAAGTGCTTTCAGCAGTGGCAATGGGGAGGATGGCTGGCTCGTGGGGCTCTCCCAGCAACTACTGGGTCAGAAATGGTACTTTCACCTCCAGTAAGAGCCTATATACATTCTACCCCCACCAGGTTGATGTCAGCTTTTGGAAACACTTGCTTTGAAAGGCTCATTTTAAAATCCACAAAAATCAAACGGAGTCACCCCATTGCCTTTCCAGAGCCTGGAGCAGGCTGATAGCTGGCAATTCCCAAGATCCCTGTAGCATCCCATGGCTACACACTACACAAGGAAGGCATATCTGTGCTGCCTTCCTCCAAAGCTTCAGCAGGCTGATCAAAGCAGGAGGGTTACAGTAAAATGCTACGTGGTACAAGCCAATCCTTCATGTCCCAATGAACATAGCAAAGCACCACCTTCCTTATCTTTTCCCATCCAAAAAAAAAAGTTGAAAGGGGCCTAAAGAGCAGCTACCTCTTATGCTGACAACTGGGAGCTGAGAGACTTTTTATTAGCAAGCTGTATTTCAGGTCTGCTCACAGCAATTGGAGAGCACAGCCAGGTTTAGGGATTATCACGGGGAAGAGATGTCAATTCAGAACTATTCACTCTTGGCTCTGAACATTAAACAGTCCCCAGGCAAACTTGTGAGTGTGGGTATTCTCTTCTGGCTGGACTATTTGTACTTCTCTAGCTCAAACTAGCACAGCTAGTTTTTCCATCATTAAATTCCAGGGAAGACAATTTATTGCACGTAGCGTCTTCTCATAAACAGACCGGAGCTAACCGTGCGTGCTTAGGAACATTACAAATTCATGCCTACTTACTGCTGGGAATCTCCAGTCCTGCTTTTAGCTTCTCCAGCCAAGACAAGATGTTCATTTCAGCAATGGACTGCTCTGATGGGAACTTGAATACCTGACCCCCAACATGAAGGTTCACCCAGATGAGAACAGGCAGTGAAGGCATGGTGGCAAAGTACGCCTTTAGGATGCCACGTCCCACTGGAGTCTTTTTCCTGTTGGAAAGAGGAGATTCAACTTGCTCACCAGTGGTTTGGCAGCACAACAGGACTGAGAGCCAAGCAAGCACCAAAGCCCTGGGGCCACATCCAGCAAAGCACACAATTTTGCCTGTGGGATACCTCTAGAAGCTCACCACGCTATTTATAATCACAATGCCTTAAAGCAAGCTATTAGGGTTGAGTGGAGAGGGAGTGGACAGCAGATTGGGAGTTTAAAGAAAACCTCAAGCAGGAAGAGCTGGGGCAAACTCTGTACGAGGGTGTGAAATATTCTCCACCTTCAGTTTTAAAGAACAGGTGAGCTAGGAGCGGGACAGGTCCTGCAGCCCACCATGGTTAGCCCCTGTTTGCAGGCAGAGCTACCAGCTTCCTCCAGCCCAGCTGTGCCACTGCAGTGAGACTGCAGCAGGTGGAAAAGCAGGAGGTGATGCAGAAGGCTGTGCTCAGGTGGGCAGCTGATGGGTGCTTCCCCAAACACAAGGAGCTGGGACAGCAGCTTCCCCAGGTGACACAGAGAGCCAAAGAGGATATTGAGATGGAGGGACAGCAAGCCCACAAAGGCACTGAGTCCTTCTGGAGCTATTTTCAGGCTGACAGTGATGCCTGAGGTCTGAGCTGGCTCTCACCATGGGAATGTGGTCCTCTGTCTAGGACCAAACCAGTGGCCATATTCTGCCTTTTTTTGTGGCAATGCCCCTTTGCTCTGACAGAGAACAGCTCTTTCTTTCTCAGGAAGGGAGATAAAAGGCAGATGTGTAGGTGGGGAAGTTCCAGAGGCTCTCGTTTCTTGTGCATTACTGGCAAACAAATTGTCTTCTCTTTGAAAACATGTGGATTCCCCATTAGCTAAACTTCAGCCCACGCTGCAAGGCGCTTCCCAGACTTCAAAGCACAGTATGATTGAGACAGTGAGGTGTCTCTGGACTTGGGCAAAACAAACAGAGGCTAAAAACTGAAAACAGCTAGGGAGGGGAGGATTAAAAAAAATCCCCTGTCCTACAACTTTCTATTACTTAGCTCCTGGATTCATTTTGTTTCTTGAATATTTTAAAGTTTGCTTTACGGAGCTTCTTCTGGTTGTCCCTTCTTCTGAAAACTTCCTTTCCCCCAGTAAACAGTCACTACTTGCCCTATTGTGCTTCCTTCTATTTGCCAGTGGAAAATCACCATAAGACACTCCAGGAAGGCAAATTTACTTTTTCTCCCACATGCAACAAGAATGTAAACAAGACCAGAGACAGGGTCAAGCTACTATGTGATATCTTTGAGATCATTTTACTCTACTGAAAATTACTTCTGCAATCAATTAAACATGTATTAATTTTACTTTGACATACAATTTTGCAGCTGCCCAGAACACATACTGAATCACTGCTAAATGATTTGACCTCCCAACTCATGATGATTTTAGACCAAATAATCACATTACCAGCTAGTGCTTTCAGTAATTGCAGACTCATTTTTTTCTTGCCTTGAAAGGCTGAAAGTGAGCTAATGGAAACAGGAAAAGAGAGTTTTACACACTCACAAGTTCAACCAGCAAGCCACAAACGCTTGCTGAGGTCTTCCTTTTGCCAGCTTCAGCATTTCCTCGCTTTCCATTTGACCGATGTCACCATCACTGAACAAAATGAGGAAGGGCTTTCTGAGTTGCAAGTAGTGGGGCAGATTTTGCACGGTGATTTCTGGCTGCAAGACATCAAAACAAGAAGTTGGGGT